GCCAGTTGTGATCTCTTGTGTGTGTGCGTGAGACGATGTTGTCGCTCGGGGTACCACTTTCTCCTCACACACACACACACACACACACACACACACACACACACACACACACACACACACACACACACACACACACACACACACAAACCCCCTCTCCCGCCCCTTTGCTGGTACATGCATGCACGCGTGGGCAGGATATCATGCTGACGCAGTTCAGCCTGGTTGTGTGTCGCAACTTCCGCGCGTTGCACAGCGAGCAGATGGAAACCTATCGGCAATGGATGCGGCGCTCAAGAAACAGGAGCCTGTCTACTTTTGAAATGGATCGTCTCATGACCGTGGATGTGCACACCGTTCCACTCACGTTGTGGGAGGGGCAGGCGATGGACTGGGTGGAGCACGCAAACTCCGTGCGCATGTGCCTGCAGTTGGCCAGGTGCGTCAGCATGTGTGTGTGTGTGTGTTTTGGAGTGAACAGCGCAACTTTCATCTGCATCGTCTGTCACTACTTCCCCAACATGGCTCACACACCTTTCTTGTGTTCTTACGCGCCCGCCCGTGTGCAAACGCGTGCACTCACGCAAATGCTTGACATTCGCCAACGCAGCACGCTTCGCATGAACACGAAATGGGCGCGAAACAGCAAAATGCGCGTTGTCGTTGTTGTCAACAGCCGTGAACATAAGATGCGTGAGGCTGAGCGCTGGCGGCACTACTTGCAGCACATCAGGTGTGCGTGTTTGTGTGTGTGTGTGTGTGTGTGTGTGTGTGTGTGTGTGTGTGTGCAACGTTTTTGTGACCGTTGCTGTCGCCATTGCCAATTGCAATGAGAGCCACGTCACTGTCGACCCGACCCAACGAGCAGGAATCGGTTTGTATCTCACACCCTTCAACTGTGACCTGCACTTATTTGACTCTGTGCAGAATGGATGCCAAAATGTGTGTGATCGGCTTGGACGAACTTCAACAAGGGCAACAACAAACCACCACCATCACCACCAGCAGTAGCAACAGCAACAACAGCAACAGCAGCGTTGCTCGCAGCGTCCTCTCCTCTTCTCGTCACCCATCCACGACCAGCACTGCCGCCGCCAGTACGCCAAGTTCCAACCCATCCCACACGTTTGAATCGTCACAGCAACACCAACAACAACAACAACAACAACAACAACAACAACAACAACAACAACAACAACAACAACAACAACAACAACAACAACAACAACAACACCAACAACAACAACAACGCCGTCGTCGTGATCGTGGCTGGCATGCCGCGTTTGTGCATTCAGACCCGCTCGTGTACCCTGCAGTGAACAGCCGCTCCCCATTCTTCGCCTCCTGGTCCCTCTCGCAACGCCTACAGGTGTGTGTATGTGCGTGTGTCTGTGTCTCTCCATCTGCCTGTCCGTCTGTCCGTCTGTATGCGTGTTTGTCTGTGTGTGTGTGTGTGTGTGTGTGTGTCTGTCTGTCTGTCTCTTTTTCTCTGTCTCTGTGTATCTGTCAGCGCGTGCGTCACTACATGCACCCTTCCACGCTCCCCCGTACCCGTTTCTGAAGCACGTGGTGCTGTGCATTACGCCTTGTGTGTTGCAGGCTGTTCAACGTTTGTTGTCGCAGACCACGACCGCGACTGCACTCACACTCATGCCACTTTCCCGTCCACCGTTTGATGAAGTGCGATGCCGCGATCTTGGGAAAAAGGGGGTTGACCCATCACACAACGACCTGCCCTATCCCTGAACGCCCATCACACCCTTGCCCCTCCCTCAAAGCTATCTTGTAACCTTCCCTCACACACACACACACACACACACACACACACACACACACACACACACACACACACACACACACACACACACACACACACACCATCACGCAGGAACACCCGCTGGAATACTTTACCAACATGTCCAACTGCACTGAGGGCGCGCCAAGCTTGATGCTGGTCCACGCAAAGTCAAACGTCATCCACACAGACTTATGATTTGACGCCCTTGTTATCCTTATGCTGTGTTGTTGTTATGTTGTTCATTGAAACACTCACTCTGGCCATAGGACCATGGCACTGTTCCCGAAATCGCTTTGTTATCCGCTCGCTCGCCCTCCCTCGCTGTTACTCCTTGCTCGCCTTCCTTTGACTACGCTACATTGCCACACTGTCAGGCATGACGTGCCATGAGGCATAAACGTCACACAACACACACGCACACGCACAACTCGTACACACAACACGCACACACACGCACGCACATCAGCATGTTGCACGCGCTTGCTTTGTGTGTTCTTCAATCGCGCAAAGAAGAAGAAAAAACACCCACACACACGCACACACGCAGCAAAACACCACCCAATACACTTCCAACAAGTGCAAGCGCACGCAACCAGCACAACGACAAACGAGGACAGAGGAGCACTCGTCTTTGTGAGCGTCTCTGAGCGTCTCTCCCACTGCCCTCACCGCCACTTCCCCGCCCACCATCGTCAACGCTCGTTAGCCGTGGCGATGGAGGAGAAGACGGGGAGGCAAGACGGCATGGCTGACGCCACCCCACGACACCGGAAGACACGCAGTGTCACTCCACTGCAGCACGGAGGCGTTTTGATCGCCATCACCGTCACCACCTGTCTGGTGTTTGCATTGATCGGCGCCGGTACTGCTGCTGTTGCTGTACCGACGACCACAACAACAACAACAGCGCCGACAGTCAGTACGAGTACGAATGCAACCGCAGCCACCTTGGCCGCTCCAGCGTGGGTGGGCGCAGGATGCAGCGCACACGCAGACTCGTGCACCAGCATCCGCTCATCGATACACGCGCTGCTCCAATCCATCCAATCCCGCGAGCAGCGTCACACGGGCAGCTATGTCAGCGGCGACAATGACGCCACCGGTGAGTCCGGCCGCTGGGAGGGGGGAGCAAAAGGGTCATTGTTGCTGTGTGTGTATGTGTATGTGTGTGTGTGTCTGTCTGTCTGTCTGTCTGTGTGTGTATCCGTGTATCTGTGCGTATCTGTGTGCGTCAGCTAACAATGTTGAGTGGCTCACTGTCCCCCCCCCCATCACACTCACACACACACACACACACACACACACACACACACACACACACACACACACACACACACACACACGGTGAGGGGCTCGTTGGCGGCCGGGGGAGATGGCGGTACGATGGCGCACCTTAAACTCCGACGCAGGATCCGTGAGCGGGCCATCATAGATCCACGTGCCAACCATGTCCTGTGTACCCCCCGTACATCACAGGTACTGGCCCAAAACCCTTGCGGTGCATGACAACCTTAAACAACAGTCCCCCTCCACCACCACACACACACACACACACACACACACACACACACACACACACACACACACACACACACACACACATAACAGAGCTCTCTCACTTGCGAACCATCGAGGCGTTTGTCAACCAATTCTGTCCTCCACCGCCACCTCCTACATCAACGCCACCACCACCCCCACCACCACCACCACCTCGACTGCCAAGTCAGCCACCGCAGGAGCAGGTGGTGCAGCGCGTGCGGCGTGCCAGTACAACCACCACACCTGCAACAACCACGACAACCGCAAGCACGACAACAACCACAACATCAACGACACGCGCACAGCGGTTTGCAGACCGTGCTGTCGTGTGCACCCTCACTCGGTCCACCCCATTCGACTGCACCAACCCTCGTGATGTGCCAGAGATGGTGCTCAAGATCCAAGGCAGTGGCAAGCCGCTGCCCGTCTGGTACCTTGATGAAATCGACATCTTCAACAAGTTCTTTATTGATCCCACAACCCCCACGAACCTCATCATCGAAGGGTCTGTGTTCCTGGAGGACCTGGTGTGGCTGCTTCAGTTTCGCTGGGATACGGTCACCAACATCACCATCCGTGGATATGAGGGCGTCGAGTTTCCGCTCGCTGTGCTCAACCCCATGACCAACGTGCACACCGTCGACCTGGCAGGCAACGACATCACACGCCTCGTGCCCACAAACGCGGCTGTCAATACCATTCCCTTTACGCTCGGCGACAGCATCACCACCCTCGACGTCACGCGCAACAGCCTGAGCCAGCTGCCACAGGCCACCCTGGCCGTCATGCCAAATCTCAAGCAGCTGACATGGGACGGCAACCAACTCGCGGCCATTGAACCTGGGGCGTTCTCGGCGACACCGCAGCTCGCCACCCTCTCCCTCCGCAACAACCGCATATCAAATGTTGTCGCCCGCACGTTTGCTGGCCTCATCTCGCTGCGTGAGCTCGACCTCAGCAACAACGGCATCTCCAAACTCGACGATGACGCACTGCTCTCCGTTGTCGACCTGCGTCGCCTCAACCTCGACCAGAACCCCATCGAGGCCTTCCCTACCCCCCTGTTTGCCAAGCTGACACGCCTGCGGCACTTGTACCTCACCACCACGCGCGCCACCAAGCTGCCAACAGGCCTGTTTGAGCACAACACGCGGCTGCAAGAGCTGTGGCTGTTTCACAACAGGTTCACGGAGATTGAGGTTGGCACCTTTGACAAGCTCACCCGCCTCGTCTTCCTCACGCTCACGGGCAACGACATCACGCACCTCCCTGCCATGCTGTTTGCACGCCTGACGCGCCTCAAGGAGCTCTACATCTCCGACAACGACGTTCGAAACGTGGATCCAAACGCATTTCATGGGCCGGAGAGCCTCACCACCCTGTCCCTCCTCAGCAACAGCATCAACGACATCGATCCAGAAACATTCACCACCGTGCCAGCGCTGGAGTATGTTGACCTGAGCGGCAACGCCCTCACACGCGTTGCCTACAACCTCCTGAGCGGCTGCCCACGCCTGACTGAGCTTGTGCTGTCCGACAACCGCATGACGCAATTTGACCACGTGCCACTTCCCGGACTCAAAATCCTGCGCATCCACGACAACCCACTCGTGGAACAGCCTGACGCCGGCATCTTCCCCAACCTCACCACGCTGCGCATGAACAACCACCGTGTGCCGTGGGTCAACTTCACGCTCGCATTTGTGCTGCCGCACCTGACCACGCTTGAGCTGAGCGCTGATCCAAGCTTTGAAGAGGCGCGCGTGCTCCCCATCCCGGAAATCGAGGCCCGCGCTGCCACCGCCACCCCTGCGAATGATGATGGTGCTGGTGCTGGTGGTGCTGGTATCTTGCCACTGCGCGTGCTGGATGTGCGGAACATTGAGTTGCCGGCGGTGTTCGACCAGAGCGTGCGATCGCGTCGCTTCCGTCTGAAGCGGTTCGCGGCGGGGTGGCCTGGCATGACGGAAGCCACCATCCCATCCGATGTGCTGTGCCAGGCACTCGACCCCAACGTGGAGGAGCTCATGCTAACCAGCACCGGTTACACCAGCATCAACGTGTGCCCCAACATCACCTTCCGCGCCGTGTTCCTGCAAGAGAACGCACAGCTGCACACCGTGCACATCCACAACCCGCTTGAGCAACTCAACCTGTTCCGCTCGGAAAAGATGCAGACGCTGCTGCTGCCGCGCGCCGATGTGATTGACCTGTCCTACACCAAGATCTCCTCCATCACCCCCCTGTGTGGCGAGTGGGGCTCGCGTGTCCTGTTTTATCGCGGTGTGCAAAATCCCTTGCTCGCACAGCGCGGCGTGGAGCTGTTTCAGCGCTGCTTGCGCAATGTCGAGGTGGTGGATTTCACCGACAGCACGTGGCTGTACGGCCTGGACGAGATCCGCGACGTCACGCGGCGCCCAACCATCCTCTCCACGCAGCAGTTCCAGGCGGAAGATCGGTCCAGTTTGCACAGCCGCGCAGAGGCGCCTGTCGTCACCATGCAGAACACACCCGTGCAGTGCCGCATTGGCTTTCTCAACGAAAACGTGCGGCCTGTCGACCAGACGGAGGCAATTCAGTCCCAGCTCGCATACAACTTCCGCTGCCAGTGCAGCAACGGGTACACGGCGCGTGCCGGCAAGTGCGTGGAAGACCCCACGAGCATCATTGTCATTGCGCTGAGCGTCACGTTCATCGTGGTGATGGTGGTGGTGCTCCCCATCCTGTACTACCAGTACAGACGCTACCGCCGCACGCAGCAGCGCAACGTCAACTTGGACGCCGACAACAGACAGAAGCAGCGCGAGCTTGATAAGACAAACGAGGAAGTGAAGGCTCTCAAAGCCGTGTGGGAGATTGGGCACGAGGAGCTGCGGTTTGAGAAGTGCGTTGCGTCGGGGGCGCACGGGGACGTGTGGCGGGCAGAGTGGGACGCCGTGCCCGTGGCGGTGAAGGTGCTGAAGCAGAACGTGATGCTGTTTGACGAGAGCACGGTGGCAGAGTTTGAGAAGGAGGTGGAGTTTCTGCGCTGCACGCGCCACCCAAACGTGGTGCGCTTCTTTGGCGCCGGCACCCGCCCCGGTGGCTCCCCCTTTCTCGTCCTCGAATTTGTCGCACACGGCTCCCTGCGCGGCCTGCTGCGCAAGGGGAAGCTGCCACAGCTGCTGCAGGACTACAAGCGCATCCTTCGCACCATGCAGACAGCAGCGTTGGGCGGTGGTGGCAGTGGTGGCAGTAATGGTGGTGGACGGAAGCAGTATCGTGGCGATCAGCAACAACAGCAACAGCAACGCCGTCGCGTTCAGCGTCGCCAACACAACAAAGTGAAGACAACTGCCCTTGATGGCTCTGACCTGCGCACGCGTCTGCTCGACGATATGAGTGGCACTGATGACGACGATGATCACAACAGTGGATATGGCGGTGGTGGAGACATTGAGCTTGGTACACCAGGCCACAGCAACAGCAGCACCAGTGGTGGTGGTCGTGGTGGTGGTGGTGGTATTGCGTTGGAGCACAGCTATGATCGTGATTCCATTCGCCGGCACCAGCGTGAGCGCCCGCCTGCGGACGTGTGGGAGCTGAAGCAGCGGCTCGCTCTCGATGTCGCGGACGGAATGGCATTCATCCACCGCCTGGGCCACTTTCACAGGTGTGTCTGTCTGTCTGTCTGTCTGTCTGTCTGTCTGTCTGTCTGTCTGTGTGTATCTGTGTGTGTGTGTGTTGTAACATAACGCTGCTGAACGTAACACCCATCCTCAGCTCACCCTGCACACACACACACACAAACCACTGCAGAGACTTGAAGAGCGGCAACGTGCTGGTGTCAAAACATTTGCGCGCGAAGATCACCGACTTTGGAACCATTCGCCAGCACTTGACTGCCACGAGCACAGCACCCGCCGCAACAACAGCAGCAACGACAGCAACAACTGCACATATGGATCGTGTGTCACGTCCCACCATATCTGTGATGGGAACAACCACAGCGCACCAGCAGGACCTGCAACACCAACAGCAGCAGCAGCAGCAGCAGTCATCATCATCAGCCACACCATCAGAGCCCACGTCTCCAACAGCCGCCACAGCATCATTCACCACCGCAACTGGCGCCCCCGACACGCTGCTATCGGCGTCATCGGCATATCCGCAGGAGCTCACGTACTCTGCGGAGACGAGCGCGACCACCCACCGCCTCAATCTCACCGCTGGCATTGGCACGCCCATGTACATGGCGCCTGAGGTGCTGATGGGCAGCAAGTACGACGCAAAGGCAGACGTGTTCAGCTTTGGCGTCGTGCTGTGGGAGATGGTGACGGAACACCAACCTGATTTGATTGCACAGGAGAAAGGGTCTGGCTTCAGGGGGCCACTGCTCAGCACAATGTCCACACTTCTCAACGAGGGGAAGCGCCTTGCTCTCACAGACGACAACGACACTACAGGTGTGGTGGTGGGTTGTGTGTGTGTGTGTGTGTGTGTGTGTGTGTGTGTGTGTGTGTGTGTGTGTGTGTGTGTGTGTGTGTAATTGGGGGCAGCGGGTGGTAGGAAGGGAGAGAGGGCAACAAATGAGAGAAGTGTACAGGAGAACGAGGAGCGGATGATGCTGTGCTACCTGCTCACAGAAGCGTGTTCTTCGCTCACATCACGATGCTCACGCATTGCACCACCATCACCATGACTGTTGACAGGTGTGCCTGGCCTGGTCACCTCGCTGTCGCGCGAGTGCATGGCACAGGATCCTGCACAGCGGCCCACGTTTGAGGCCATTGCCCTCCGCATCAAGGCTTCCGCCGACATGTGAACATGTCGTGTGTACATGTGTGTGTCTATGTCTGTGAGTCTGTGTGTGTGTGTGCCTGTGTGTCTGTGTGTCTCTGTGTCTCTGTGTGTGTGGGTGTGGGTGTGTGTGTGTGTGTGTGTGTTCCTGTGTCTGTGTGTGTTCCTGTGTCTGTGTGTGTGTCTGTGTGTGTGTTGTCAATTTCGCACTGCAATTGTGCACGTGTGACTGTCTCTTGCATGTCGCTGTTGTGTATTGTAGCTGAGTGTAGGAGTTGCTTTTGTTTAGTTGAACTTGAAATGCCTCCTTGACGTCTGCCCACTCGTATCTTGCGTGCTTGCTTTCCTTTGCTGCTTTTCTTTTCCCGCCCGTGTTATGCTGTAGCCCTGTAATGTTGCATGATGTTGTGTTGCATTCGACTTCTCCCTTGTGTTATCCCATGAAATCTCCATTCCTTTGCTGTTGTTCCATAGGGCAGGCACATTTTGTTTGAGCGTTTAGCTTGATGGTCCTTGATTTGCACGTATGTGAAGTGACGATGCATAAATGTGTTGTAAGTGACATTGGTGCATACGCGCGGTGGTTGTGTTGGCGGCGGTCATGACTGAGCAGCAACTGGCATCGCTGCAACGTTGACACCGCACGCACACACACACACACACACACACACACACACACACACACACACACACACACACACACACACACACACACACACACACACACACACACACACACACACACACACACACACACACACACACACAGAGCAGTGCGACAGCACGACACACAAAAATGCCCAAACATCACGACTCGCAACAGCATAAACTGCGTTTGGAACTGCACAACAGCAACAGCGGAGATGAGCGGCAGTGTGGGAGCATCGGATGACAAGCGAGGATCCACAAAGGTGCGCTGAGGAAAGAGTGTACAGTGGTGCTTGATGTGATGTGACATGTCGTGCGTTGATCTATCTTTCTTCCTCACTATCTCACTCACTCGCTCACTCCCTCACCCACGATCTCTTTGCTGAACCCAGGGCGGCTCCTTGTTGCTGGCCGAGATTGACCAGCACCGCTTGTTTGGTCGCTACGCATCGTTGCGGGCCGCATCCCACACGCTGCCATCCTCCAGCGTGGCCCAGGCCCAATGTACGTTTATTTGTGTGTGTGTGTGTGTGTGTGTGTGTGTGTGTGTGTGTGTGTGCGTGCGTGCGTGTGCGTGTGTGTGTGTGTGTGTGTGTGTGTTGTGTGTGTGTGTGTTGTGTATGTGTCTGTGTGTGTGTGTGTGTGTTGTGTGTGCGTGTGAGCAGGAGCCCAAGTGCCTGGTCCAACTTCCATTCGGTTGCCTTTCCAACAAACGAAAGACAGTCAAGACAGTTCGCTCACGTCCCATTGATGATGCATGCGTGCTCATGACAGCGTTGCGGAACTTGATTCTCGGTGAATGTGAGCTGGAGCAATATGTCTTGCAAGAACAAGAGCAGGCGGCCCTTCGCAGCGCAATAGCCCAAAGTGGCAGTCCAGACCAAGACCAAGCATCTTCGTCGCATGTCCACTTGCTCGGTGAGTCACAGCTTGCCGCTGCTGCTGCTCTGTGTGTGTGTGTGTGTGCGTGTATGCTTGTGTGTGTATGTGCGTGCGCGCGCGCGCGTGTGTGTGTGTGTGTGTGTGTGTGTGTGTGTGTGTGTGTGTGCCTTGGTAGCTGCTTATCCATGCTTGCTTTTGACGTCACGAACACAAGCAAACGACTGTTCCCTGCAGCCTTTGAGCTCTGTTCAAGACACACTGCTCCAACGCCGTACGTCCATGCGCACGTGGCAAACTGACACGCTGCTACCCTTCCTGCACACACACACACACACACACACACACACACACACACAC